AAATTCTTGCTCATGTCCAATTAATTGTACTAACTATTTTTCTGTCTTTTGTTTTCATGTGAGCACAACTGGATGGTGGCAAAGCAGGGGAAGCGAGAGACTCTGTGGCAAGCATGGAAGCAAAGGAAGCTCAGTCAACCTTAGGCATAGATTCATTTTCTTTATAATTTAGAGAGAAACATTCAATCAATTGTACTAATTTATTTTTTTAAATACAATAAGTTGTAAAACCTAAAGTATTTAAATAATAAATTATTTTGTAACAACTTTTGAAATAAATGGAGAAAGTCTTATGAGATATTATGGTGTCCATTAAAACCCTTTACTGTCGATAACTTGTAATTTTCTCTTCGCATCCTAACTAAATCTTAAAGATTCCCAATCAAGATAATTGAAACAAAATGCTCCAATCTGATAATTTAAACTCCAAGTAATCCAATAACTCTGTAATCTGCAACTGCATTTCAATCAAAACATGCACTGTCCATTCCATTTCCTAAACAAGCAAATGTTTTAAAAGACGCAAATCATCTGGTTAACCTTGAGAACAAACACTGTCTTTTCAATACACTTGAGAAAGCATGAAAACCTGCGAAAGCCAATTGGATCTTTGAGAATTCATTTCTTTTGAGAATTACAAGAAAAACCCTAATTGCTGGTTTACTGCTACAGGAGAAAATCTGTCTGATCGATTCCTGAGCCAACCTGAATATCTGAGAAAACCCTAGGGTTGTGCTTTCTATGAAAAATGGAAGGGCAAATTTTGGGGTACAACACATTGCATGATTTGAATCATACTTGTATGAAACTATTGATTCAAGTTCCAAACTTGTGATTCAAGCCAACTTGCATTGACTTTTGTAAAATGCTCAAATTCAAAACATTATAAGTGATTTCTACCTAACAGATAATAAGTAAAATTTTTGAGGGATTCATAATACGATAAAACAAAATACGATAAAATATCATAACATATTAAACAAATACATATATAGACAGAATAATTTCAGTCTCCCCACTTTGATGTTTTACAAATTTTGAGATATTTTGGTTCCTCGTAGAAAGGATTAGGCTTCGCGGCATTCAACACTTGCAAGCGGGAAACTTAAGGATATCTCATAAACTTCTCCGCTCTGACAAAAATCAGTGTGTGAGAGAGAGAGAGGCAAGAATAAGACTAAAAAACACAAGCAATAAAAAATCAACATATATGCATACACACTAATAATTTCCACATATCTAAAACACAACACGCTAACACGCAATTCAGCTAAGCAATTTCATATGATATCAAAGAAGAGAAGATAAAAATAGAATAAGAATATATTCACAAAACACAAATAGCAAAAAGGCATCCAAGCATTATATATATATATATATATATATATATATATATATATATATATATATATATATATATATATATATATATATATATATATATATATATATATATATATATATATATATATATATATATATATATATATATATATATATATATATATATATATATATATATATATATATATATCAGAATTATCAAAAATAAACACCATAATGAAAAAGTGGAAAACATGGAAACATTAAAAAAGATAATACTAAATACTAATAATTATGCATGAAATGAAATGACATTCTAAGATGGAATATGGTTGGTAGCAAAATGAATTCCAACATATGTGAAATCAGGACCAAAAAAATCAAGGTCAATGCTCGGATCATTGGCCGAGGTAACCAAATCCTTGGTTGAAGTCAACATAGATTTAAGTCAATCCTTCATTTCCTTTAGTATCATCTTCTTAGTGCTCCTCTCTTTCTTGATTATCAACAACTATAGGAGTAGAAGATTCATCGAGATAGATTTGATTGTGGGGGTGAATCTCTCATGAGCAATAACAAAAGTAGTCTCTCAAGGGACAAAACCATGAATATCTTTAAGGGAGGTGTAGCGGTAAAAAGTTGAGGCTAAGCCATTAATTGACTTAACTCACAAAGTGAAAATCGTCACCACACTTTATTTTATCCAAAGGAAATGTGAAAAGAGTGAATAAAACCCAAACAAAATAAAGATCAAGTTAAGGGGGTTGGTTATGAAAAGGGAATGTATTAGCATCCTAAACATCTAAGGTACTCCGCAGGAACCTCTTTGAAAATCTGTGTATTTGGTTAAAAGGAAATATGTACAAAAATGAGATTGAGAAAAAGAAGTATTTTTTACAATTTTTGATTTGGTAAAGCTTCCAATGAGCTCTAGGCCTACATACCAATAATGTGTAATATTGAAATCAAAACCAATGTAGTTCGGGTAAAATAGACTAAAATTGGTTTATTATAATTGGTTTTAATGTAAAAGACATTTCGTCTTATCCGAGTGGAAAACTAAAAAACTATGACAATCATGGTAAAGAGAGAACTTGCTTCATCTTAAATACGGAGAACTTATAGCCTGGACCAACTCAACAATGCGAGTCTCATCATACAAGTGGAAAATTACTTCAATATTACCATGTTTATTAAAGTGGAGAGGTTTGCAAACACTCAAAGAAAAGGCTTATGTCTTAAAAATTTTGAAAAGGTTAAAAGAAAAAGTACACTAAGGCACAAAAACTTTAAATGAGGTTAGTGACTTTTAGTCTTTAAAAAGATGTCAAAGTATGATTAAATTGATTAAGGTTTGATTAAGAAAAATATTTTGAAAGTGCATGGACCTAAGTCCAAGTTTATTATGAAAGCGGTTCAAGTTTAAAAAACAAGAAAAATTAAAAAGATTTTTTTTTGAAATTAAAGAAAATGGAAGGAGATAAAGGGACTATCCTATGTACACAAAGTAAAAGCTAAGGTAAGGAAAGGTCTAACCAAACAAGAAGTCAACACTTGACATAGAAAAGTCAATGTAGAATTCTTATCCTTTGGATTAAAGCCACAAGCATAGAATAGACCAAGAGCATATCAATCATCCATATGAAAATAAATCACAAGCAAAGAAGTATCAAAGAAACACAAGGTATTAAACCCAAAGCAAGGTCTTCAATATTGAGCCATGGGCCATATAGATCACTTAAGGCCAACATAACAACACATGCACACAAAAGATTTTCCAATACACAAGTAATATAACAATAAAACAACACAAGATCCAGAGGTCTCAAGGTCTTCAAGTATCAAAGCTTCTAATCCTAAGTTCAAGAAGTCCATAACTCCAATATACCAAGGTAGTAACCAATAGTCCATAAAGATAGACTTAAGTCTTTTAATGTTCAAGTTTGTTATTAAGTGTCTTTAAAAGAAACTAAAAACTCAAGTGAGCAAAGATAAAATGACATAAAAAAACAAATGTTCAAGTGAGCAAAAGGAAAATAGCATGAGATGTAAATGCTAAAGATGAAATTTCATAAAAGTGAAGACATAAAATAAAGGCATAAAGTAAAGTTAATTGTTAATGAGTTAGAAGTTAGAAGTTAATGGTCATAAATATGATCAATGATGATTGAATGATGATCTTGGACCAAGAATGATGAAAACTCATTAGAGGATTGATAAAATCAAAATCTCCTAACAATAAGTTTCAAAGATATTTGACTCAAGATAACCAATCAATCATACTTGGACATTCAAACATAAATTTTGAGTCTCGAATGATTTTTTCTAAATCGATACAAATTTAGCGCTATGTTAAACAATTGTAAGTGGACTTATGTAGAAGTCACACCTATCTGAGGCCGGTCAATAATGATGTATGTACCATACATGTTAGAGACATGATAGAAACTATGCTCCTAAAACATGTAACACAAGTTAAAATCAAAGATCAAGACCTAAGTCATGATAAAAAAAGAAGAAGAAGAAAGTGATGTAGTAGAGATAAAATCCAGCCACCAAAGTTAGAAGCAAATACTAAATATATAATATTTACAAGTGAATAGAGTTAAAATTGATGTTTAATGGATTAAATGGGTGAAATACCAAAAGTGGTATATAAACATCAATAAAAAATCTAATAAAATCAATACAAGCCACAAACAGGTTAAGAAGTATTCACAGATTTTTTCAGAATTTTTTAATGCATAAAAGTATCTTTAAACTATTTAAAACAAAACAAATAAGTGGAAAATGATTAAAAATAGTTAAAATCAAAATAAAACTCCAGAAAAATTCCAGAAAGTAAAAAATAATGAAAATGATTTTTTTGAATTTTTCATGATTTTTGGACGGAAAATGAATTTAAAATGAATTTTTGAAGTTTAAAATGAATTAAAAGAAAAGAACTTAAAGCTGGATAAATCTCAGCCATATGATATAGTCAACTTTAATGCAGTAATAACATCAGAAGATTCAAATCTGAGGTACGCAGTAAGTACAGTGTATATGCGCGCAGAGAATCAAATAGCTGTCATCTTCTCAGATGTGATGACAAGTGGCACCGGAGACCACTTGTCCTCTGCACATTCTCCTCACATATCCCAATGAGATAAGAGAGGATAAAATAAAATGATAAAAAAACTGAAACCCAAACCCACCAACGATTTTTTTATACGTTGGGCATCCAAAGGTTTTTTTTTCCAATTTTCCACAAGAGTTATCTCTCTCATTAACCATTCCAATCATATTTTAAAGCAACTACAAAAAATAGAACTTATGAAACTTTAACAAGAAGAGAGGTTAACACGGTGGTCAGCCAAGAGCAACATGGTGGAGGGAGAAGACCCACGGCAGCGACCGCCACTAGTTCACGGTGGCGCCGCCGCAAAGAGTATCCGATCTATTTTTTTTACATTTTTGTGCTCTGTTCCTCCTTCTGATCCTAAATCTGGAAATAGTTTTTCGAAAAAAAGGTTTAGAATACGATAGATCTACAAATGAAATTTCAAAAATCTAAGCTCAAAATAACAACAATCAGTCACAAAATCACAAAGAAGAGGGTGGATTCGTGTTTTTCAGTGGAAGACCAAACTTTTTATATAATAAGGGTGGAGGATGACGGAGATCGAAGGGTGCAGATGACAGCTCTTCGGAGAAGGCACGTGGTTTCTTGGAGAGTTTGGGCCGCAACTCCGACGAGATTCTTCAAGTGAGTTTCGTTTTCTCTTGTGTTCTATGTTTTCTCGGTGTGTGTAATCCAAAAATCCTCCTCAGATAGTGTGAAAGGAGTGCTTTATATAGGTGTAGATTGGTTAGGATTTTTTTTTGAAACTTGGATTAGAATGAAATTGTGTTGGGCTGAGAATTGGTGAGAAATGAAATGTTAATTTTTCCCTTGAAAATCAGTCTGAAAATCCACACCTCTATCCAATAATTCCACTGTTTTTTGTTGTTGTTTGTGATGTTAATCCAATGTTAGTCTTGGGCTTGAAGTGTATATTGTCTTTGGGTTAGTTTTTTGACCCCCCTTGTAAATTTGTTGGAATTATATTGAATGAATGTTGTTGATATTGTTGAACTTGTTTCTTTGTTGTTGAGAAATCTTTAAATGAATTTTTGAATCTTGGGCTATGGAATTGAGATTGCTAACTTCACCTTCTTCATTCCTTCTTTTCATGTGTTGTGAAATGGTTGATATGGAATGGAGAATATGAAGGAGAAACCGTGTCAAAGCTTGGAGTTTTGGAAGAGAGCAAAATCATCATCCAAAGGTCTTGAAGCTTAATTCTAATGGAAGTCTTGAATTTCATGTGACATTGGTGAAAATCTTGAATACTTGTATGTGTTCAAGTTCATTTGAAATTCAAGCTAAGGAATTGTAGGCCATTGTAGCTTTTAGAAACCAAAACTTCTTTGTAATCCTTGTGAAATGATTTGTAACATAACACTGAAACTCTTTGTATTTTCTTATAAAGACCTAATTGAATTCTTGAATTGTTATGGATAAATTCCTTGTGACTTGGATTGATAGGAATGGAAGGAACTTTGAAATCTTGAATGATGTGAAACTTGAATATCCCTTTGATATTTTGATCCTTGAATGAGAATGGATATTGAAACTTGTATCTTGAATTATGAATACAAGTGGTAATGACTTGTAATAACCTTTGCAATTCCATTTGAACTTTCCTTGAATTTTGAATAAGAGAATGAATAATATGACTTGAAACCCTTTTGGATGTTCCTCGATGAATTTTGAGAAGTTTGATTCCAATGAGAAATGATATTAAAGTCTTGAATTTATAATAATCATGCCATGGCCAAAAAGAAATTCAATCAAAAAATTCAACTTTAATCCAAGTTACTAATGCTAAATACAAGTAATGATCAATCCATAACTCTTCAAAAATCCACACTTGACGATGAATGATCTTAACATAAGAATCAATGTTTAAGGAAACAAATATGGCATGAATTTAAATTAGAGGTCATGAAAGTACTAACTCCAAAAATGACCCGTAATGTTTCAATAAATTTCATGGCTTTCCGAGCACAACTGACTATTGATCCTTGAAGCAAACTTATAGATAACATCTTGAAGAGTATCGTGCAAAAAGAATCAACCCAAAAGAGTGAAAATTGAGGAAGTTATGATCCTCGAAAGTTGGGAAAAAATATCTTGCCATTAGATCAAATTCACAAAATGACCTCTATTGTACTTAAATTTTTTATGGTCTTCTACACAAAATTAACTCTTGACTTGAAAAGAGAAGTTGGAGAGGATGTAAAAATGAATCATATGCCAAAATAACCACTAAAAAGTATTGAATAATAAATAAGTTATGATCGTTTGAACTTGAACTTGCGAATGTTGACTTTTGGTCAAACCAACTTTGAATCGACTTGCAAACTTGATCTTTTCTTGGAATCTAAGGCATGTTTAAGCACATGTGAACTTGAGATGATAAAATTTGTTCAAACTTGTTTGAGGTTAATCATCGAAGAAGACATGGAAATAAACACATGAACCTATCTTGAAGAGTCTTGAGAATTAAGCAACCAAACTCACATTCACCATACTAAATGAAGCTTGAGGATAGTGTGACCTAAGATTATAGATCATAACTTTGAAAAATAGGCATTTGAGAATCAGTCTTTGGTCTGAGAAACTCACAACCCTAATTGGGGGAACCATCACCTAAATTTCTTGATCAGAAGCCCTGTCTTCTAAAAGAAACAAAATAAACGAGATAGATTTTTGAATTTTGGTTAGAGGTCAGTAAAATATAAAACATGTATGTACAAGATACACAATTCAAGGTACTTGGTGATCCCTCAAGGAAAAACTTAAGGATAAAAGAGAGTATAAGAGATAACCAACCTTAATGTGTGTCTTGATGCATTGTGATGGTATGAAGTGATGAAGGATCTTAGGGGCAAAATTTGGGGGTATAACAGCTGCTCTATTTTAGGTGTCTTCTATCTGGAGATATGAAGGTTAAAATCTTTGTTTCGACGTGATTGAAGATACTTAAATATAAAACAAACCCTATTTTTAGCCCCAAGATGCAATTCAATGCTTATGATTATGAATCTAAAAGACGAACTCCACCGGAGAAACAAGACACCACTGGGAATAACAAAATAATATAGACAAAGCTACGACACAAGAAAGACTAAGAAAGAGAGTTCAACCAGAAAAATAAATCATTGGGGAATGACACAACTCTAGGGATAACTATGAATAGGCAAAACCAAAACCACAGTTACAAAAATGCAAAGTAAGATTTTAATGGGGGAATTCTTAACAATGCAAGCAACAAGCCAATAAGAAAGTAATATTTAAGAAAAGGTTATTGTATCGACTGGGGAAAGAAACTTAACTCCGTTGGAGAAAGAAAAACTTAACTCTACTTAGGAAAACAGAACTCAACTCTACTGGGGAAAAGCCCAAAGAGGATATAGAGGAAACAAGATAACATCATCTTAATAAATGAGAATAATACTGACTCGCATATTTAGTGAGGAAACGATTGACATCAGTACTAAGACTGGAAAAAGAAAAAAATGACATAAACTTTGAGGTTGGGATTAATCCAAAAGAAGAAAGTGGGAATACACACCCTATTGAGGACAGAAGCCTAAATGGGTAGTATATGCCAAAGGAGGTGAATACCATATATCAAAGATCTAATAGTCTAACAATGGTAAACCCAAAAGGACATAATAATAAATACCATATATCAAAGATGTGATAATCTAATAGTGGTAGACACAAAAAGCATAATGAATACCACCTATCAAAGATCTGATAGTCTAACAACGGTAAAAAACCAAAGGATATAAAAGTGAGTACCATCTAAAAAAATGTGATAGTTTAACAATGGTAAACACCAAGAAAATGGATTACTAACTTCCACTGAAGGTAGAGATATAAAAGATACACTGACATTTACTAAAGGTGAACTAACAACTTCTACTGAAGGTAGAGAAATAAAAGATACACCAACATCTACTGAAGGTGAACCACCAAATTTCACTGAAGATAGAGAAATAGAGAACACACCAACTTTTACTGAAGGTGAACTACCAACTTCCACTGAAGGTAGATATATAGAGAAAACACCAACTTATACTTAAGGTGAACTACCAACTTCCACTGAAGATAGAGATATAGAGAAAACGCCAACTTCTACTGAAGATGAACTACCAAATTCCACTAAAGGTAGAGATATAGATAAAACACAAACTTCTACTAAAGGTGAACTACCAACTTCCACTGAGGGTAGAGAAATAGAGAATACACCAACTTTTACTAAAGGTGAAATACCAACTTCCACTGAAAGTAGAGAAATAAAAGATACACCAATGTTTACTGAAGGTGGACTACCAACTTTTACTAAAGGTAGCGAAACAAAGAATACACCAACTTTTATTATACCAACTTCTATTGAAGGTAGAGAAATAAAATATACACCGATGTTTACTAAAGGTGGACTACCAACTTCCACTGAAGGTAGGATCTGCATTAACAATAACGAGTTTCCCAAAATTCTGGTGTTTCACCTAGCACGGGTCTCAACTTCTTCTTTAACCAAGGCAATCCACCTGGAAAGGGTAATAAACCTCACCTGACTTTCGAATTTTACCTAGAATAGTAATATCTTCTTATTTGATCAAGATATCATATGAAAAGGGTAATAAACTTTACCTGACTTCTACATTTCACCTAGAACAGTAATAGCTTCTTCTTTGATCAAGATATCACTTGAAAAGGGTAATAAACTTCACCTGACTTCTGGATTTGGCTAAGAATGGTAACTGTTTCTTCATTGATCAAGATATCACTTGAAATGGATAATAAACTTCATCTGACTTCTGGATTTCGCCAAGAACGGTAACAGTTTCTTCTTTAACCAAGATATCACTTGGAAAGGGTAACAAACTTCCTCTGACTTCTAAATTTCATCGAGAATGGGGAATAATTTCTTCTTTGACCAAGATATCACTCGGAAAGGGTAATAATATGTTGTAAGGATCTTCCAAGGAATTATCTCTATCACATCAAAGACACCAACCATCCATCAGAATAAAACTGATATTTGGATGACATACTTGATGCTTCAAATAAAGAGACTTCCACCTGCTACCAAATAGAATATGTCGGCGACACACAAGTTGCTCAAATAAAGAGGCTATAACTTGTTGTCAGGCAAAGATTCCAAGAGAATGTCATAGAACACTGCTGGATAATAATAAAAATTCGCATCTTCAGATGGGGAAACCATAAACAGATTTCAGCTAAGGAGAACAGAATCCTCAAAGGTGCAAAATAAATGCCCTCTCAATCTAGGTTTCACAGCCTAGAGAGATAAAAACATATCATTGCAAGGGATTAAAATCCAAACCAGGAATAAACTAGAGTGAAAAAATTAACCAAGACTCTACCTAATGAGGAACAAACTCAAATAAGGATTAATTCTATCCAGGTAATGATCTGGGGAGGAAGGCTGAAGAAATTTTTTTCCACGAGGAATAAGCTCAGTGGGGAAATTGAAAGGATATACACTTTCTGCTTAAGAATGGCATTCTATTGGAGAGAGACAATACACAATCTGCAAAGAGGATAAAAAAATTAATGAATGCAAATGAACAATGAATTTTCATTCAGCCATGCATGATGTATGAGTAATGTATGAATGTTATAATGATGCACATGCTGACAATACAAACATACTACACTGGAGATAACCAGACAAAATAAACTTGGGTATAGACACCACTCTACTAAATCACATCCAAGATGTAAATCCCATAAGAGAGTAAGCAACCAACTAAGGAAACAATGTCCTACTTCAAGGCTTAACTTCTCTGGGAAAGGAAATGTTTCTTGAGAATAAATAAAGCATAATAACAATATCCTCTAAGCTTCATTAGGAGATAACACATGAAATTTTTTGGGGAAGATGATACCACATCTACTGGGAACGGACTACAAGGCTTCTCCAATATCGAGAATAATGATTGCATAAACTCTGCTGGAGATGATCAAATAAAATATCATGGGGATTACAACCTTAAAGGGAACCTTAAACCTTGGTTTACATGAGAAACTAAGAATTTAACATCATAACAAGAAGTCAAGCTTATGGGGATTTTAAATCAAACTCAACACAAGATGAGAGAAAATCCATCAGTTGACAGTTATCTCAACACTTCTTAGAGAAGGTACTGCTTTTAACTTGCTACTTGGTGAGCTCACAGAAGCAATAATGTTATAACAAGAAAGGTAAAATTTTGCAGGAGATTATTTATCAAGTCTCAACACAAAGGAAGAAAGAAACCAATAATTGAGCAAAATCTTCATAACTTTACAATCTCT